CCCATTAAAAGGACAAAGGGAACTAGACAAAATCTCCTACTAATAAAAGTAAGAATCTGAATGCAGTAAGAAAGAATAGATAAAATGGCAAAAGAGTGGTGAGGAACAGCATATCATTGATGGTTCAATTTTGGCGTAACTTTTAAATATATGTAAATACAACACTGAAGGGGAAAAGGAGCAATTGAAACTTTTCTGCACTACTTTTTGTCAAAGAACACCAAGTTTTAAACAAAAAATGTTGAAAGCAGTATTGTAGCAGTCGCAGCATGAAAATAATTGTTGAAAGTGGAGTTATTCTGTTCCTCACTTGCTTGTTCTGAGGTTTTATTTGTGAAGTCCTAGATGATTAATTTGACTAATGATTTATTTGCATACATTTACTTTAACAATATGATCCTCTTTACAGCAATTGTTCTATGTGAATATTATATCTTGAAAGGATAGTGAGGACTTTTTATTTTAAAAGATGTCTGATTGTTCATGTGGAGAATCATGTCAGCACGGCTATAGTAGTTTAAAGACTTCATCAGTGTCCTCTGACAGAGGGCCACAATTACTTGCAGCTTGTTTTTTTTAAAAAAGAGCAGTGTCTCTTTAAATACTTCAGTCCCTTCTCCTTAACTTTTAAGGAGATGTAGTGGTATTTGAAAAACTGGCTAGTGAGGATGTTACATAACTACGTTCTTCAGATTTGGGGCTGTAGTTCATAGGGAGAAAACAGCAACTCTTTTGTTGACAGAAGTGTGAACAGTTGAATTGGCATAATCACCTTGCACTTGAGCTTTCTTTTTAGACATGTTAGATATAATCTCTTGATTTGAATAGAAACTGATTCAGTCCCAGTCCCTTAAAATCCCTTAAAAGATTCTAATTTGTTATGAATGACCTCAGCTAGTGGATCCCATGTGCTTCCTAAGTGGTGTTGTTATGAAGGTGTCAGTGTCCCTATTTCTGGGTCTCTTACATGTGTTCCCATGTTGAGACTCTTTATCTGGCAATTTCCTTAACCACTCCATTGAGAACCCATACTCCGGTATCAGGAATAGGCCCTCCCTCCCATGGTTTTACTTCCTCCTTAGTGTCTGATTTCCTGTGAGAGGTCTCATTTTCAAATTTTCTTTTATTTACATTAATATGTTTTAGAGACAGCTGCACACAAATTAAGGAAGCAGACTTATCAAAAGACTTAAAAAGCAAGACCGTTAGGACACAAGAAACTGTCACTGAACTGCTTCCCAAGTCTTTCAGAGTCATTCCCTGACCTAGCCAGCCCCTGGCATAGGTGCAGTTCAGGATGGTAAACCCAAGCCCAGATTTCACAGCACCCTAACCACACTCCATAATATAGCCTTTGTGGAGCACCGTCAGTGCCTGTGAGTGGGGAATTGGCCTCCAGCAGTATACAGGCTTCAGCAGTAGAAGAAGGAAACAAGTCAGCTCCTGAAGCAGTAATTTGGTTTTATTTATATATTATGTGTACAAAAAATAATTCTTAGGCTCAAAAAGTCAAGGTTCATCACTTTAGTTTCAGCTCAGTCTTGGAGAGAGAGTAGCTGTTCTCCAGATATCCTTTCAAACCTGGGGTGCGCCTCTTTCTCTGACTGCTGCAATAGCCCTCTCTTCCCTAGGTGAGCCCGGAGGGGCCATGGTTCGGTGCGTTTTTCCTCTGGCAACCCCCTTCCTTATCCATTCCCAGAAATGAATGAAGTGTGTATCCTTCCTGGCTGGGCTGGAATCTGATGCAACTTCAGAGCAGGCTATGAAAAGGAGCTGTCTCCTGGACAGAGGCTTCACAAGTGCGATCTTTCTGCCTTTGCCGAACGTCCGAGTCTGAGCGTTGCCTAAGTCTTTAGGAAGAGCCTTCTTTTTTTCCTAGTTCTGAGCATGAAAGACTGCACTCAGATTGGAGAATTACACCTTTTCAGATTAGTTTAGCGGGAGGGGTCAGGTAGAAAAAGAAAAAATTACTTTCATGGTCTTATGCTTTGATGCAGGGAAATGGGGACCTTTTTTCTCCTTTCTCCTGTCCAAAAGAGAAATTTTTGTGCAGGGTCCATTCAAAGTCAGTGATCTTGAAACAATGGGATTGCTTTTTCCCCAGGAAAGGTCATTCAGTGCGGATGGCCCTTAATGAAGTTCTCCACTTTGCAGCCACTGTTACCTGGAAATGGCAAACTGCTGTTTACAAAACAAAACAATGTCAATAACTGTACACAGACTTACTCACCGAAGTGTCACCAGCCTTAGCTGTTTGACCCCTCACTCACAGAATTCCCTCTCTGAGGATAATTGCTGATTTGAGGAATTGCAACATATTGTACGTGAGTCTGGCAGAAGTGGAAGAATTCCTGGAGTGTATTATAGAAGGCCCTCTGGTTTCAAAATGCAATTAAGTAGTGTAGACCAAAACATATTATGCCCTGCAGATACAGTCAAGCATGTGCATGGGGTCCAGCAAGCAAATCTGACCTTCCTCTCCTTTGGTAAGTTCCAGCTCCAACTTTCTTAAATAATTGATTCACTGTTGGGGCTGAGTCATTCTGTTGAGAAAGGCATGTTCCTGATAAAACAGGCAAACAGTTAGCATCTAAGAAACACTTTGCTTCTTGGAAACACTTGCAGACTATCACTGATAAAGTGCTGGTAGGGCACGCAGAAGAGAATAGCTGAGAAGCAGCATGAAGGGGACAGGGTGGGTGGTGTGAAATGCAGAATATCTATCTTATATTTCCCCTTTTTCTTGTTGTTGTATGAATTTATAGCAGGATCTTACACTTTGTCAGTGGAAACTATTTCTAGGCACAGGAAGGACAAGAAGGTGAATGGGAGAAGCCAGGGTGGATTCAGTGGGGCAAATTATGCTTGACCAACCTGATTACCTTTCTGATTACGCAGCTTGTTCAGTGGATGACTGGAGAGCTGTGGCAGCAGAAGAAAAGCAGGGGTTATATACACCTAGTGTGCAATTCAGTTATTCTGTTTTGATGTCACCTTAGCACTCCTGAGAATTTCTAAAGAAAATATCAAGAGTTAGTATCAGGAAGAGGGGATTTTTCTGGCCTTTTTCCATAGTGCCCAGCCAGTTTGTTTCTTCTGGTAAAGTGCAGGTTCTTTCCTCTGTTCTGCTCTCTCTTATTCTAGGAGATGGTGATGTCTGGGTTGAAGAAACAAGTTTTACCTCTTCGTCTGCAGTTTTGGGGGAAAATACTTTTTTTTACTCCCTTCTGGTAAAATATTTCATAAATGACCTACCTGCCAAGAGCTTCTGAATGAAGGCCCTTTTGCACTTGAGGTTATTATATTCATTTAATTTTTTTATTGATGTTTCTAATGAATATTCACTGTCTCCCTTTTTCCCTTCTTCATTGGAAGCTGGAATTGTTCTCGTCTATAAGCTTCTTTACTGTACCAGTAGTGTTTTGACAAACACACAGTTGTTTCATCCATATTTCCTCCGTGTAGCTCTATGCAGGATAACTACTACTCACTATCAAGATTACAGCTCTGTTAAAGGTGGTGCAGTGGGCTTTTTAGTGGACCTACTGTTGCCATAGTGCTGTTTTAATGTGAATGCACCAAACAGAGAAATAAGCCTTACTGTCATTTTCTTGAAGTTATTCCCTTGAGAATGCGGCTTGTCTTAATTACAGAAGAATTTATATAAAGCTTGCATTGTGTGCTGTAAATTACCTTAAACATGCAGCATATCCTTAGATGGTGGAAGTTGGTAAATGTATCGTGAACTTAAACCAGTTGTTTAAGCTCTTCAGCTTGCTTGTTAAATCTCAATTAGAAACTACCACGTGAACTTGTGGGAAAGAAATTGTCACAGTGGTTTAGTCTTATGACTGAACAGCATGAGGTTCTGGAGCCATGTTTATTCACATACTGACCATGTGAAATCAGAAGTAAGATCAAAGCTAAATAACATGACTGACCCAAATCACACTTCATTTATATATTTAATACACTTTTTCTTTTAATGTAGCAGCTTTTGTAAGTGGATGCTTTTGGGGAGTTATAAGCCTGGATGTATTGCTACCAATGTCTTTATAAATTTTTTGTTTTGCTTTGTTCATCTCTCTCTGTGGACTATATAAAAGGAAAAGCCTATTGCAAGGAGATATCACTTGGTCTGATAAAAAGACATGCTTATAAAAGTGGTGAAGTTTTCAGGATACAGGGTACGATCTAAATACAGGCTGGACCTAATTGCTTTTAATCGGTAATAGTAATTGATTGGACTGCTTGAAAGGTGAGGCAGTTTAATAGCTTCAAACAAAGCATGGTATTAGAGTGAGAAGAGGTGATATGTCCTGTGAAGCAAAGGAAAATATTAAAGCTACAGAGCAGGAATCTATAGATTCATTGTAATGAGCCACAGAACTGGTGTCTTGGAAGTGTAGCTTTCGAGAATAATCAAATTGAAGAATGTAGTTCTCGGGTTTGTTTGTGAACATTTGCAGAGTTAAAGGTATGGCTTCATGACTGAGTTAAGACAGTGAACTGTGGATCATTGCGAGAAGTAGCATATGCTCCCACTACTTCCACTGTGTTGATGCTAATGATGTGCAGGGGCAAATTTTAATAGAGGGTTAGTGTTCAGATGAATTAAGCAAAAAACTGAGAGGGCAAGGGTGCTGACCACTTCATTTGGCAGCATCTCACATTTAAGCTGGCTTAATCTGGTGTGGAAAGGGCTCCTTTGGTTGAGGATGGGACTACGCTGATTTTTTGTGAAACAACTTTCCTGCTTCTAATTGGGTATTTCTGTCCTTGGGCTGCTGTGTGGATTGCTGCTGTTGCATAGTGATTGTTCAGCTTTGCACACCAAAGGATTTCCCTGAGGCTGTTTGGATGCGTTGGAGGAGGAATGTCACATTTGAGATAAGCATGTATGCGTCTTCCACGCGTTGGTCCACGCATTGGTTCAGTTATTCAGCTCAACACCACAACTGGGGATGCGTTGCTGGCAGTTGTTTTCTCTGAGATTGTATTCAGATGTCTTAGTCGAAGATGTGATCTATTTTTCTGTTTGTTTTTTTTTCTGGCAGAATGTATTTATTGGCTAAAAATTTTACGATTGTAATATGTGCTCATTATTTCAACTGGATGTCGTTTTATTTAACGGCATTGCCATATAACGTACCTTTTTATATTTTGAGATATTTTCTGGAAGTGAATGATTTGAAGATTGAAAATATCATTTTGTTTTTAATATCAGTGTTTTTGGCTCGGCACATGGGATGTATTAAGTTGATTTTTACCATTGCGGAGGGTTTGTTCCTGTGGAGGTTTGTAATTATTATATTTCTGAGTGATAGGGGAAGGACTGAAATTTTTAGTCCAGATAAAATCTGTCTGAACTCAGGGTAGTTCTGGTGCTGTAGTTTCTCTTTTTTGTAAGCCTAAGAACATATATAGGGAGAGGATGTTGTTGCAGGATCCGTTGCTGTGCACACTGTTGAGAGCGAACGCCAGTTATTCACTGCTGAGTTGTGAGTAAGGGCGGAAAAATGAATGCTTAGGGTTGGAAGGATATCTGATATGTTTATTGAGCCGATCTCTTATGGAATCGGTCTAATGAGGAACATATATTGCATGGGTTTTTTAAAAGGCTCTCCAGCTTAGATGCATTATAAGCCTTAGCCATCTAACCATGTAGTGTAGTTTCTTTATGTAAGAAGCATAGTATCATTCCTAAACTTAAGAAATGAATGTTACTGGGTTTTTGTGGACCTTTCCCCAGCCCCTGGTAAGATGTTTCTTACATGAGCTTAGGTGTCACCTAAGCTTAGGTGCCACCTTCTTTTACCTCCATGTTGTATGGTCTCAGTTCTGCCTGCAAAACATAAATAATTATTTGACGTGAAAACATTAAGGGAAAGGTATTCCACCAACTATTTTGGGAAAATATAAAAACACTTGAACAAAAAAAGTTGTCCTCTAGTTTTTTTCCTTTCATTTTGGCTGTCTAGGTTTCCTTTTTATCTGTCACTGTCCTATCGTACTCTCTCACCTTGGAATTGAGTGTAGAATAGGAAAATGCCACTGTGATTTGTACAGGTGTCCAATACATTGATATTACAGCACTGACCTATAAGAGTTTTTCACTTACAAGGTATTATTTTGTGTAGTTTCATAAACCTGATAAAAATTTTCTCTTCCTCCGGAAATCACTTGGTCACCAAAAGGAGGGGGAGGGAGTGTTTTTTACATCTGGTTTCCAGCTGGCCATCAACTGACCAGATAATTTCCCTCACCTCCTCCATGCTTAATGAAAACTTTCTATTTGTTAAAATAAAATAGTTCTACTAGTGATCCCCCTGTGATTACAAATTGTTATAAAAAGATCAGGGGAGAGAGAAAAAGCCAGTAGCTCCCATTTTAGATTTTCTCGGATTACTGTGAGACTAAGATCTGCTTATCGTTTGCACTGTTTTCTTCCAAATTCTGTTGGGAAAGCGGTGTCAAGCCACCACCTTCACTAGAAATGTCATCCTGTTTTTCACTAATTCCTGGGATGATAACATCCCTTGAACAAAACGCTGGATCAGACCAATTTTTCTTGGTTTGTTCAGTTTGCAGGATTCCATCTGCATATGCTTTACTGGGCTCTTACTATTGCTGAATTACTGGGGAGAAATATGCAGCTCGTCAGAAATGTGTTCAGCTCCTGTTGTTTGCCAGAAATAAAGTCAGCCTTAGCTAACTGCTAGAAAGTATCAGGACTCTGCCAACTGATGAATTACTTCTTTCATATAGTTCTTGTTTCCCCCAAATAAAATGTTGGCGTAATATATCACAAAGGTCTCCCTGCGCTTAAAAACATACTGCTCTCTCCAGAATGGGTAGTGCAATAATTCTTCTTTTGACATCAGCAAATAAGTACTGATATATTCCTTTTTTAAATACTATGCATTTTGTTGGTGATATCGCTGATGTATTTAAGTGGTTGGAATATGTGTGTACTTACTGGAGTAAGTTGATTTACCTTGGATAGATGAATTAGAATGCTTTAATCCCTTGATGTTATATGTTATCCCATTATGTTGTTCTGCTTTTGTACTATTTCCTAGCCTTAAAATAATATAAAGGAACATTATGATAAAGAACTTGCTTCCCTTCTTCCTCAGCAGCGAGTGCTGTAGTTTGCAGTTCAGAAACTTGGAGAATTGTCTTCAGCCAAAGAGGCCTGAGTGTGTTCTTGCTTCTCTTTGATATATCCTGTTTAATAGATGATTGTGATATGCAGAAATTTGCAGTGTGTACCAATAGCAGTTACATGAGAAGGAATGGAAGTGGAACGATGATGGCTTGGAAAACATGATTTAAGGGCGTACTGAGATGGAGGGGGGTTTGGAGGCCCCCTCTGAAGAAGTAAGCTAATGAGCAGAGCACTGTACGCTAGCTGTTAGCTGAAGCAGCTTTTTTCTTAATGTCTTCAACTAATGCTGCAGTAATTTCCTATTTCTTTGGTAACCTGTGCACTGAATTACAAATCCATTTAACATCTGGTTATTCAATGATTAGCTACTTAGCACTTGCAGAGTTTGTCCTTATTGAGCAGCTGTGATTGTTGTTCATGCTAATAAGGCAAAATCGGTTTCCTGTGAGACATCTTGCTGAAGTAGCTGCCCTGACTTAATGCGTTCCAGTTACGTGGAATATACTACAATAATAATTGTGCTGCTTGTAAGTTCCTCTATGCAGCAGGTTTTTAGTGCAGAAATTGTAGTGTATACTGTCTGTCAGAGCCTAATTTCCAATTTATCTTTCCATTGTGCCTCTGTTTTACCCAACAAACAACTGAGAGAATAAAACAAGAAGTTTGCTCCCATTTGCTCCCATTGTCTGTCTTATTAAAGAGAAGCCCCATAGGAACTCTTTTATCACTCTTTATGCAGTTCAGTTCTTTGGATCCCTTGTTGCAAGCTTTGATTTTTGAAAAATTTTGTACAGGTCAGCTCTGTCCCATGCCTTAAATCAATCAATTTCACTATCTTATAAAAGGCAGGAAGCTCCTGACGCATCAGGATCTCTGTCTTTAACCTGCAGTTTCATGATCAGTATAAGCTAGTTCTGCTGGTGTCAAAGGCAGACCTAGTTTTTTCCCTGTTCTTCTTCCTTCCTTTGTGCTGACACAATCAGCTGTGCAGCGAACTGAATCGGGGAGCAGATCTGAGTAAAAAGATAACTAATCTATTTTTCTTTTAAATGGGGTTAAACCTGGATTATTTTTTTGTCTAGTTCACTGCACTACCACAGAAGCAATTGTGCTGTTATAAGGAGTAGAAGGTACTGGGAAGTCGAACACTTCCAGTGGTACGGATGCGCTATGTAGGCATAAATTAACTGTGAAGCAATCATGCTACTTACAAAACAAATTACTGAAAGAGACTCTGTATATTACAAACAGCAGTCCATCAGACTAGTTTACCTCTCCCTGGGGAACGTGGGCTGCTCTTTCTCACCAAGTTTCTATACTTCCATTTTTCTTAATTTTTCTTTGTAGAAGTATTGACACAAAGCTTATTTTTAAGCAACGATAGGGTGACAGGAAAGAGATAACCACCAAAGAAACAGTCAAACGGATCTGTTTCTTTCTGTGATAAGGTATTAGACGTAGGGCAGAACTAGCAGATATATCTCAGCTTTAATGATGCTTTCGATGCTATCTCAGGACATCAGTCATGAGTGAACTCAGGAAAGGAAGTTTACATGAAAGTGGTGTAAGGTGCAGGAACACAAAAATGGTGTAAAACTGTATTCAGAGGACTTTGTATCTTTCTAGGTCTAATTGGTGGAGTGAAGCGAAGCAGTTTTAGGTCTAAAACAATTTAAACTGTGTTGATGAGTAGGATGATGGAACAGAGAATCTGCAACACTGACTTTCAGCGGGTATTAATCTAGAGACCTGCAAGAATGTTGGAAGGCAGGATCAGAATTCAGAATAATCTTACAGTATTGGAGAGACAGCGTTAAATTATTAAGTTCAGAAGTTCCTTGTAAAATGAGAATAATCAATTACTCAGATATGGGGTGGAAAATAACTTGTGTAGTAATAATCCTTTATAAAAAGGATATGAAGAATGTAGTAGATGAGAAACTGAAGCTGTTGCCTTTTGTTGAACTGTGTTGGAAAAGATCCACATACGTCACTTGCTGTATAAACAGCAACGTTAACTGTAAGATCTACAAAGCAGTCCTTACAGTTGACTTGGTGCCTTAAATGAAGCAGTAAGTTCAGATCTGGGCGCTGCATTTCAAGAAAGATGTAGGCCAATGGGAAATAGGCTAGAGGGTACATTTGTTAGGTGCCTGGAACAAGAAACATGCGAGGAGTGACGGAAGAAACTGTGACAGTTGAGCCTGTAAAGAAAAAAATCTAAAGCCAGATGTGAGAACTGATTTTAATATTTAAAAAAAATATCTGAAGGGTCATAAGAATTCAGCTTATTTCTTTGGACTATGATTTTCATTGTTGCTGTGCAGAAATACTAGTTTTTGCTGCTATGAATGGCCCAGTGTCCTGAAGTAATAAATATAACTCTCCACAAATGCAAATGTGATCTCTCTGGGGCTTTGTTATAACATCTGGCAGTGCCTAAGATTCTCTGTGAATCTCTTTGTGAGGATAAAAATGTTCCCATTGCAAAAAGATGATTCCACTGGCAGTGTTCCAAAGCAGTTCTCGCTTGCCCTTAGTAAACCAGTTCTTTGTCTGAATGGTGCTGCTTAGTCTGTTTGTCTCTGTTTTCAAAATCATACCTCCTGAAACAATAGTGATGTTCTGTTGTGGGACTCTTCTAATGAGAACCTCTGTGAGTGGGTCCCCAACTGTTGCTCTTCACTCAGAGAGATCCTAATAGCGTGGTACCTTTTTCTGTTGAGGTGCCCTTTCTTCTGTGACGGATCTCCTGGAAGCACCCCTCTGCTGTCCATACTGGTCAAGGGGAAAAAGTACGTTTAGGGAACACTGCTCTTGACCGCTAAGAAAGTGCGTAAGGAATGAATGTTCATAAATATTCATGGTGAATTACGTTTTGATTCTTGCTCCTAAGAGAAGTCAGCAAAATAATAATGCATAGTCCTGATCCCAAATGTTGAGAAGAGATAAACAACAACTCCTCCCGTTTTGGCTGCAGTTCTTGAATGCATGGTTATTTTTTCTTGCATGCCTGTTTGAGGTAGTTTGCTCCGAACCGTCCACAACCACTTGCGTAGAGGATTCCAGTGCAGCAATTTTACACCTCTTGGATTTAATTTTTCCAGCATGTAGGTGCGTATGTCA